CGGTCCCGGTGGCACTTGTGCCCGGCGTGGCGGGCTCGCCCCGCCCCCGCAGGCAGCGGCGCGCACTTAAGGCGCTGCCGGTGGCCAAGGGGCGCTGCGGGGCGGCGTGCGGGAGCGCCGGTCCCCCGGTGCGCTACAGCCGGTGCGCTCACACCGGTGCGCCTCTCCCCACCGGTGCGCCTCTCCCCCCGGTGAGCTCCCCGCCGTGCGCTGCTCCCCCCGGTGCGCCCCCCCGGGGGGGCGGGAAGGGAAGGTGCTCGGGCGGGGAGTTTGCCCGACTGCGCTGCCGCGTAGCCCTCCCGAACCTTTGGGTTGGGCTCGGCCGGTGTCTGATCTAGCTCAGCAATTGGGAGGCTCGACCACCTCTGTGTATTACGCATTATTAAAGCCTGAGCTTTTTTTTTTTTTTTTTTCTGCATGGGAAGTTTTTTGCCAGCAGGAATGTCCCGGGAGTAGAGATGGGAGATAAAGCGTAGACAAGAGTTCTGGAAATGTCTGAAACTCCCCCTGTTGGTCAAAAAACCCCTCAGTGGGTGGGGCATTTTATGGTACTTCATCATCATCAATCTCTTCTTAGAGCCGTGTGTTTTTTTTTTTTTTTTTTCTGCATGGGAAGTTTTTTGCCAGCAGGAATGTCCCGGGAGTAGAGATGGGAGATAAAGTGTAAAACAACTTGCAGAATTGGCTTCTGAATCAGGGAGCGTCTAAAATCCGTGTTTGTGCTTCAGTGGGGTAACTTCAGTGTTGGTCATGTTGAAGCTTTAAAACATTGAATTGTGAGAGGAGAATTACTTGGAAGATGTGAGGACATTGTTTTGAAAATAAATGCTTAACAGTGAGAAGAAAAATGGAGTGTGATTATCATCTCAAAACACTCCAATCTGAGTATTTAACTTTTGACTGTGGTTGGGCTGGTGAATACTTTCATTGCATGTAGGAGTCTGTTGCACAAACATTTGTTTATGTACGTAGTTTAACCAGCGGAATGTTTTGTATGTTTTTTCTGATTACATGTGCTTGAGCATTATATATTTTATACATTATTTTGTGTATCTTATATGTGCAGAGACTATAAGGATACTGTATGCTACATCTGCATTGTGTAAGGCATACAGATAATTGTTTTATCCCGTGACTGATGCGCTTAAAATATGATGCCATATCATATCACTCAGAAAACTGGAAAATTAGATTTGTACCACAGACTAATATTATGGAATTTCTGCTTCAAATGTCATTTGAACAGTGGTATGCCTTTTACAGTGTGTGTATATTTGTTTTTAATATTGCAGATGCCTTTTGATTGCAAGACTGCTGAAATGTTTTGAGGGCTGCTTCTCCTTTCCTAACCATGAACGGTTCAAAATCACCAGGGCTGGCTGGATTTGGAATCTTAAAAAACACGACCTGCCACACAGAGAAGAAGATCTCGGTTTTCTTTTCAATAATCTTCATGACGGTGGGAATCTTGTCCAACAGTCTTGCAATTGCAATTCTCATGAAGGCGTATCAGAGATTCAGACAGAAATCGAAAGCCTCCTTTTTGCTTCTTGCTAGTGGTTTGGTCATCACAGATCTCTTTGGCCACCTCATCAACGGAGCCATTGCAGTGTTTGTGTATGCATCAGATAAAGACTGGATTCGATTTAACCAGTCCAACATTCTTTGCAGTGTTTTTGGCATCTGCATGGTTTTCTTTGGTTTGTGCCCGCTCTTCCTGGGCAGCGTGATGGCCGTTGAACGGTGCATTGGAGTCACTAAGCCAATATTTCACTCTACAAAAATGACTTCTAAACATGTGAAAATGATGTTGACTATGGTATGTCTGTTTGCTGTTCTTATAGCTTTGCTGCCTATTCTTAGGTTTAGAGCCTATCAAATTCAAGCATCGAGGACCTGGTGCTTCTATAAAACAGAACATGTTGAGGACTGGGAAGACAGATTTTATCTCTTACTTTTTTCTTGCCTTGGGTTACTGGCCCTTGCTATTTCATTCTTGTGCAATGCTGTCACAGGAATTACCCTCTTAAGAGTCAAATTTAAAAGTCAACAAAGACAAGGCAGATCTCATCATTTTGAAATGATCATTCAGCTCTTGGCTATAATGTGTGTTTCTTGCATTTGCTGGAGTCCATTCCTGGTAAGAGCCTAATGTGTTTGCCAATTTTTAATGCACATCATTGTATAAAAGTTATACTTTTTTATCCCCAGGTTTTAAGGCACTTCAGCTGTGATAACAGCTCCGTTCACTCTTTAGTGTATTATTTTTACAGCATATTGCCCATAACGTATGAACCTATGCATCTGTAACTAAAATGGTAATTATTCTCCACTTCTGATTATAAGTAAAATACACTGAGCGTAGGGACTGTGAGGACTTCGTTTCCAGTGCTGTGGTAGCAGAATGGTGGCTAGAATAAATCAGAGCAAGTATTGAGCTTGTCCAAAAATTCAGTGAAATCTTGGGAGTGGTGAGTCTGTTTAGTCTGTACTGTGGTTCCTATCATTTTTTATTGATGGTAGCCTTTTCATTGTTATTATTACAGTTTACTGCTACTTGTGAACTGTGTTATGGAAGATAACAGTTAAGAACGTAAAAATCTTCCACTCCATTAGCAGGGTATTAAGAGCTTTGCGTTAGAGTCGTGTTAAAAAAACAGTGGTTGGCAATGGGTTAAAATAAAAAATCAGTTTAGACCTGAGAAGCTGGGTTTGTAATCTGAACAGATGACCAGCAAAGCCACTCCAGGCAGTCGGTGCGCTCTCTCTGCTGTCCTGGCTGTAACTCAGGACCGATTGCTGGTAACTGCTGTGACTCTTCCAAAGCGGTAAGTGTTGGTCATGTTGGCATCTGCTGTGTCAGTGAGCAGGGTCAAAAGAAGTGGGATAATTATGGGAAAGAATTTGATGGTCCCTGTTGTACGATGGTATTATAAAGCTGGTATTAACTGTTACTCTTTCTAATGCAGTAAATTAATGTGGTAATTTTTTTACTAGGGTGAGACAGGTTAGGTCACAAGAAATACGAAATCTTAACTTGCTTCCTAGAAACAAGGTCCCATAGTTTTCCACAGATATGAATGAGGAGCAATTTTGGTTTGAGCTTACAAAACTAGAAATTTGAATTTGAGAGCTGAATCCGATCCAGCTATATCCCATCTACTTACTGCCTATGGTATAGTATGGAGTTACCTGAACTAGTTCTAAATTAGATACTGATATTAGCCTACCTGCAGCAGTTGGCCGTATCTGGCAGGTAGCATTGAATTAATTCAGTGTCGCAGACTTCAAGGAGAGAATATAAATCTCTGCGTCACTGAAATGCACAAAAACTCTTTTCACTTTTGTTCCACACACACAGCATTTTCCCCTGCTTTTTTCTCTATTGATTCTTCTAGATGTGCTCTGCAGCATAGTGTAAATTCAAATAGGCTTTTGTCAGTGTCCTGGCTGTAGTGTATAGAGCATAAACAAAGTCATCAGAACATACAGCAAGCTTTTGTAGTAAACTTACTTCCAGTTACTTCCAGGCACCTCCTGAAATTTGCCTGGGGCAAACCACAGAGTGGTTTTCAAGAAAAACAACTCAAATGATGGCTTTACTTTTAATTAAAAAACCCAGTATATTATCCTCTGTCGACATTTATTTTCAGATAAAGGTTAGAATTAATTTGATTTTTAAAAGGCCCTTGGCTATCAAAAAGAGCTATAGACTTCTTTTAATTCAGAAGAGATACTTTATTTGTTCAACATATGAAGGAACACTAAATTGCAACTAGTGTGGCTGCTTTTTTAGTGTTGGTGATTTTTGTTATGTCTTTCAATTTTTATTAATTGTAAAAACAAAATTTTAAAAATCTTGACAATCTTTAATGAAATTGCAGCACTACTCTTATTAAAGTATTTAACCTCATCTAAATTGTAGCTGACAACGAATTATTATTCCAGCTGCAAAATGTTTTTTTCAGAGCCTTTTCAGTTTGATGTTTTCTTAAGGGGGTAATACAGACCAGTGAATGACTTGCTTATTTTTATACTTGGTATTTTTCGGGACTGTGTTGCAGACAAGGTGATACACAAACAATTCTGGTGCATTGGGCAGCAAATCTGCTGGTTCTCTCTGTGTGTTGTGTAAGGTAGGATTTAGCTCTTGAAAGAAAGTTTGAAGGAAGTGAACTGTTAGTGTTTTAGCCAGAGAGTTTCCATAATCAGGGAAATTCAACGAGGTGGAGTCCTTGGTAGGTGTTACCTTTTTTAGCTGTTAGGATCGTAGAGTTGACATCAAAGCTAATTCTCTGAATTACCAGCTCTTTGTTTTGATAGGATTTAGTTCACTAAATATAAACAGAGTTACAAGTGCAGCATTAATTTAGCAAGCTTTATTGGACTGCAGTGGACCATACAGATGCAGTGGAATAAAGCTTTGCCAGGAACGTGCTGCTAAGATGCTACAGTAAAGATATCCAGGGTTTATCAAGGCGTATGATTTATGAAAAATTGCTGATCCAAATCTATTTGTCCAATTTATCTGAAACCTCTCTGGGCTTTTTATTTGTGAAATGAATTGTTTAGATTCTATAATTTAATCAGCATATACCAAAATAAGTATTTATTGAAATAAATACAAGCAGGTGTTCATAGGTGAAATCATTTGGCAAAGTAGCTAAATACATGCTTGTTTTGCATTCATTCGCTTGTTTAATTTTTTCTCAAAGCAAAATCTAGAAGTCAGTGTCAGTCTTTGAACTGTGAATTTTACCCGTTCTCTCTAAGACAAAGAGTAGACAGAACAAAATTTGATGTGAGTGAATTGCCTTGGTATAAACCACAGTGATTAGAAACCAAACAAACGTTTGGAAGAGAAAGCGGAGGAAGGTGATGCAGTTTATGCCACATGTGGTTTGCAGATACAAGAGTTTGGATTGTGTGATTCTCCATCTGATGAGGAGGTTTGCTTTGTTTAGTTTTCTTCTTTTTTTAATCTAGTCTGGTGTTAAGTCAATTGTCATATATGCATGGCTACCAAAATCAAGTCTATCCAATACTGTAATCCAACCACAGATTTACTTCACCATTAAATTTCTTTTTCTTTTTTTTTTTTTTTTTTTTTTTTTTTTTTTTTTTTTTTTTTTTTTTTTTTTTTTTTTTTCCCCAAGTGGAGTTAAGTATTCAGTCACTGTTTTGAGCTAAAATCACCTTTAGATGACATAAGAGGTACAAGACCCTGGACTGTCCTTTATGGTGTCTGGTATGGAACTGAACTTAACTTCTGCACCCTGCTCAGTGGTAGTGAACTTGTTTTGGTGCCTTAATGTATCTATGGACATGTGTATGTATATATAGCATTTAATATTATATATAATAATATATAATATTATAATCAATCACCACCTCTATTTTAAGACTCCTGGAATTTTCAAGAAGTGGAGCCCCTGGCATGGCTCATGTGGAGCTCTGCCTGGGGCTGTTGGACAGAGACTTCCTTCTGATTTCTTCTCTTACTTCTGATTCCTTTCCTGAAGCTCCATCTCATTTGAGCCTAAAAATTGAGCATCTTTTTCCAGTTTTCTGCCACTGTGTGGGAATCCTTCCTTAACAGAGTACCAGAATGAGGGGTACTCCCTGCCTCTTCCCTTATGGGGTAACATTTATCTCCTTTTGAGGAGTAGAGAACAGGAAGGAAATCACAAAAAAAGAAACAAGTGAAATTAATGAGTTTTCCGATAATCTATCTAGTCAATGATTTGCGGAGGCGCATTTGTTCTGACAGTCCAAATAATTTTGCTTTGTGATGGGTAATTCCAGTAAAATATGTTCTGAAGATAGCAACATCAACTTCTCTGTGTAGTAAGTCATCTTTTTTCATCCTTGCTGGAGTCTTAGGCCTTTGCTAGGGATATGTGAATTTTGTTGGATAAATTTGGTCCCTAGGGGTTGGATTCCCAAAAGAACATAGTTGGGCTGCAGCATTTTGTGACAAGCATCTCTGATGAAATAGATTGTTATATAAAGCTGTTTTTTGGCTGTGACTTGACGTCTGGCCTGTCATGAAACAGCTTGTTTTTTGGATCTGTGTTCACATGAGCTGATTCTGACTTTAGTACGTCAAATTTTGTGGGGCTCAAGGGATAAACGTATTTTAAATTTTGTTTCTGGAGTAGCAAAGTGAACTCCATGTAATTATGAACAGGAGGGCTTTATTTCAGAGTGAATTTATCTACGGGAACAAATTATGATTTGGAGAAATGTCTTTTTCATGCATGGAACAGTCTTAGCCTGAGAAAAAGACTTTTACATTCAAATTATTCTTGTTAAGATCTTTTTCCATGCAGTTATCAGATTACTTTCATGCAGTTTTACCTCCCCTCTACTGCAGAAAATAGCCACTCCTTCAGTTATTTTGAAAGGTCTCAGCTATTTATTCCGTATGATATAATCAGCTCTTACTCCTCAGCTGCCTTTTTTACTGCCTAGATTAATTTCTAGCCGTCTCTTCTCATGCCATCTCTTCCTATTCCAATTTCTTATGCTAATTGCTTTTCTCTGAACTCACTCTGACATCTTCTTGTCCTCAGCTTGTCCCGTGCGGCGAGGCTTGATGGTTGGTTTTTGTGCACCTAGGGCTGCATTTCGCTGACAATTTGCTGAATCACTCCAACCTAGAAGCTGCCAGAGACGGCCTGAGTGGTCCTTCAGTGACTGCGCTGCCGGAGGATGCAGTGCTGCACTCAGGGGGATGCTCTCGGGATGCCCGTGGTGGAATACCCTTGCCCCAGCCCACCTCACTCTGGTTGCTCCACCAGGTATCATGCTGAGCCAGGCTCATGGTTGCTATGTGCTGGAGGGGGTCAGCAAGCTGCAGGTTTTACACTAATTTCTAGGCCATGTAGTTGCATACAGTATAAGGTACTTCGTTGTACAAGTTGTGCATCTCATTTTAGTATTTTTGTATGTGTGGTCATGTATATATTTGCACAGTGACACTTTGCCAGGAGTTCATACCCCTGTTGCCCTTGAAGTGTCTCCCTCCATTCCTGTTTTCTGTACTCTTTAACAAGCTGGCAGTTTAAATCTCTGTTATACTACTTTATGCTTATATGTGCAATGGGCGTCATTTATATGAGCTCATTGCTTTATCAA